CCGATTACGATGCCGGCGAAACGTTTTAGAATGTACCAAGTCCACTGTCTGATGCTGGGAATCATGACACCTACTATGGCCGACGACTTCAGACTAGGTGCGTTCTACTAAGTCACCTTGACAACAAGACCAAGTTGCGAAAACGAGGTAAACCCACTTTTATAAAGCGAAAGGAGACTGCGACCATACCAGAGGCCACAACATCATGGTCTTCATATCTTCAATTAGCAAAACTATCTTTGGGCATTTGGTTCGGCTACATCACAAATGCGTTTAGTGCAAAAAAAATTGTCGATGAAGATAAGTTAAAGGAGTAGCTCCTAGCGAGGGGAGGGCACATGGACTCCACAGAACTATAAGTTGTAAAAAACGGATATTGACTGCCGGTCTGTTATGGTCTCAGAGGGAATAATTAAGGCCAATTTAGAGCTCCAATGAAATACCATTGAGTATATTTAACTAGGCTTTACTCATTTACTTAAAGCATTAACGTAACCTTAATTATACAACCTGCTACAGACTGTTCCTTGAATAAAAAAGTGAAAAGTTTCTATAATATCAAAGAAATTTCCATAAAACTAGTAATTCATACCTGTACTCCTAGTCATTGTTTGGACCATAGGTTGCTGATTGAATGAATGTTGGTGAACATGTTCCGTTGTTGTCATATTTTTGGCCATCAAGAAGGCATGATAAACGGCGAATCCACCGACAACCAGCGAGAGACCGAATGGCAATGAACTGCTAGCAGCATGAACTGCCTGTTTAAATGATAGCCAACCAAGCATCAGGCAAGGTGCCGGGAAAAGAAAGCCGAGTAACCGGACCATCTGCCTGGTCCACCATGCGAGTGGCAGGGAGAGCAGAGAATCCGCATCGTCAGCGAGTGGCAAACCGGGCATAATATATTCAAAGAAGTAGGGGATACTGAAGAGGCTGGCGTAGACACCACCAATCAGAATGTGCACTAAGCTAAAAAAAAAGTAGCGCCAGTTGTGGTGACCGATGCAGACCCCTGTGGACAGGAAACAGAGAAGGAAATTAAGAGGAAAGGTTACCTGGAAATATCCGGCTGAGACAAAAAATTCCGTTATCATCCAAGAATGCATTGTGATGTTTGCTACTCTACAATTGTTACACGCAATATTTTCATCTCATTTTCGTCATTTCGAGAATCACACAAAGCCATGTTGGCGATCCTAAGTAAGGGTACAAGGACGATAAGCAAGGGGATAATAAGATGAGGCTGATCTCAAGGAGCCCGTAGCTGCAGATAAAGAAGAGGAATCCAGTTAACACTTTCAAGAACTGTTGTTCGATAACAAGCATTGCTCTAGGAGGAAGAAGCCAAACAGCGTTACACCAGAGACTGAGGACAAAACTAATCAGCGCCAAAAGATGTATTGAAGCACTAGTACGGTATTTCTGTGAATCCAAAGTTAAAAAACATAAAAAATTCTGCTTAGACATTTTGGTTAATTTACTTACCATAAAGCAAAAGCACGATAATAGCAAAGTAGAAAAAAGGGATTTAACCAATCAAGTAAGGAAGTAAGTCCAGATTAATAGGAAATTCCAAGCACACGGCGAAGAGAATGCGTTTAAGTATATGATCAAATTGCATCTTAAGATGTCC